CATTTAGATCTAGTTTAGACCTGCTTTTGGTCCTGTTTTGTTCTTGTTTTAGTCCTGGTTTAGTCCTGTTTTAGTCCTGGTTTTAGGCCTGTTTTAGTCCATTTGTAGTCCTGTTTTAGTCCTGGTTTTAGACCTGGTTTAGACCTGGTTTTAGTCCTGGTTTTAGTTCTCTTTTAGTCCTGGTTTTAGGCCTGTTTTAGTCCATTCGTAGTCCTGTTTTAGTCCTGGTTTTAGACCTGGTTTAGACCTGGTTTTAGTCCTGGTTTTAGTCCTGGTTTTAGTCCTGTTTTAGTCCTGTTTTAGTTTTAGTCCTGGTTTTAGTCCTGGTTTTAGTCCTGGTTTAGTCCTGGTTTTAGTCCTGTTTTAGTCCTGTTTTAGTCCTGCTTTAGTCCTGGTTTAAGACTTGGTTTTAGTCCTGGTTTTAGACTGTTCTAGACCTGGTTGAGATCTCGTATAGACCTGGTTTAGTTTCCGGGAATGAGTGGAATTACCGGAGAAAAAAAAATAAAAACATTTTGCTCAAAATGTGAAAAAAGGAAAATCCCTCTGTGTAATCCATTTATTTCACCAAAGTAACTGTAATCCAATTACCACTCACTGAAACAGTAACTGTAACTGAATACAGTTACTCATCATTTGTACTCTGATTACTCCGGTACATGTAATCTGTTACTCCCCAACACTGTCAATTATCGATTAATCGACTAATCGTGCCCATCAATAGTTACAATTGAACAAAATTGAGAGTTATTATGAAAAATAAAAGTAAAGTAAAGTTTAAGTATTAGAGTAAGTTTAAAGTAAAGTAAATAAATAAAGTCTGACTGATTTATCGAACTGTTGTGTTTCGTTTAAAAGTCCGGTGCGGTTTTTATTTGTGAAAAAAGTTCGAAAATAGACCATTTAATGACAGTGCGCCCTATAGTGCGGAAAATACGGTAGTAGTCCACGAAATTACTCAAGTAAAGGTAAAAAAGTATTTGGGAAAACTACTCACAGACTAACTAAACCAAACCACGTCTGAAGGAGCCGCAAGAAACTAAATATTCAAATCATTTCAAATCGTCAGGTGAAGATTTTGTCACTTTAGACTGACTCACAGCGGGAAAAGGAAGCACAACTTTTACTCAAGTACTTAAAAATATCACTCAAGTGGGAGGAGTAAAAGTATGCTGCTGGACAAGTTTTCTGAAATGCCTTTAAAAAGTTACTCAAGTAAACGTAACCACCTCTGAAAATATTTGTATTGCCACGTTTTGCCTTAACTAACTCATCGTTTTTATTTGTTTAATCTTTTCCAGAAACATGTATTTGGTATTTTCATGAACAATAAATCTTCATGACGTCAAAACCAAAAGGAAAATGTGTCTCGTGTTTTGTTTTTTTGTTTTTTGTGGGTGTTTTTTTAAAGGTTTGGACAGTAGGGGGAGCTCTTCTGTTTGTTTACATGCACAGAACCTGTTTGCAGTGATGGTATTTTTAGAACAAGTGTTTGTGTTCGGTGTCGGGGAGGTGACTTTTAAAATGTAATCCCCTACAGATTACAGATTACATACACCAAAATGTAGTTTGTAACGTAATCCATTAAATTACTTAAAGTGAGTAATGTAATCTGAATACTTTGGATTACTTGATTTGCTGTAGAGAAGCAAAGAAAAAGGAAATCTTAACATAAGAAGTTTTGTCTGATAAAAGAAAATAAAAAAGTCCAGACTTTACTGAACCAAATTAAAAATATTATTGATAGAAGAAGAAACACGTCCACACAGCAGGATTTAGTCCTGTTAAATCCTGTTTTAGTCCTGGTTTAGACCTGGTTTTAATTCTGGTTTAGTCTTGGTTTAGACCTGGTTTAGTCCTGGTTTAGACCTGGTTTTAGTCCTGGTTTAGTCCTGGTTTAGTCCTGGTTTAGACCTGGTTTAGTCCTGGTTTAGACCTGGGTTAGACCTGGTTTTAGTCCTGGTTTAGTCCTGTTAAATCCTGTTTTAGACCTGATTTAGACCTGGATGAGTCCTGGTTTAGACCTAGTTTAGACCTGGTTTAGACCTGGTTTAGACCTGGTTTAGACCTGGTTTTAGTCCTGGTTTAGTCCTGGTTTAGTCCTGGTTTAGACCTAGTTTAGACCTGGTTTAGACCTAGTTTAGACCTAGTTTAGACCTGGTTTTACCTGGTTTAGACCTGGTTTAGACCTGGTTTAGACCTGGTTTAGACCTGGTTTAGACCTGGTTTTAGACCTGGTTTTAGTCCTGGTTTAGACCTGGTTTAGTCCTGGTTTAGACCTGGTTTAGTCCTTACCTGGTTTAGACCTGGTTTAGACCTGGTTTAGTCCTGGTTTAGACCTGTTTTAGTGTCCGGCAATGAGTGGAATTACCAAAAAAAAAAAAAAGTGAAAACAGGAAAATACCTCCGTGTAATCCATTTATTTCAACAAAGTAACTGTAATCCGATTACCACTCACTGAAACAGTAACTGTAACTGAATACAGTTACTCATCATTTGTACTCTGATTACTTAACTCCGGTACATGTAATCTGTTACTCCCCGACACTGTCTGTGTGATGAAGGTTGTTTTCATTGTAGATTAAGTAGATTAAGTAGGTTAAGTAGGTTAAGTCGGTTACACTGTGAAGCTTTATGTAACTTCAACATAAAACTTAAGTAACAGGATCCAAAAAGAAAAGTTATTATTGTAAATCTAAACAAAACAAATACAAACAGTTCAAACCTTGGACTAAAACATGTTTGAACACTTTGTAATAGACGTAGTGTTTCTGAAATGAATCTAAAATAAATCCTTTCATCTGATTTATTTCGTGACACTGACATAATCACGTTAAGCTAAAATGTTGTGACCTGTAATTTGAAGCATTAAAACAAAACAAAAAAAAACACATGATTGTCAGTCTTATCACAAAGAGTCAATATTACAGGCTGCAAAGATCAAATGTAATCAATGGAAAATCATAAAGGTCAAAACCATGAAATAGCTTAATAAACTATTTTAGTTACAATAAATTACTCAAGTACTTAGACTTAGATCAACTTTATTGATCCACAAGGGAAATCATTTGGACACAGTAGCTCACACATCACAATAAATACCTTAACAAAAATATAAATGGTAATAATAAATTCTAAATAAGTATCAAATAGAGAGCAAGAGACAAGTGTACAAGTCAAAATAAAACAGAAAAATAAATCATAAAATATAAAATCTCAGCTGTTTACAAGAGGAAACACAGGAAAACAGAGCAGTGATCTGACAGTGACACAGTTTTCTGTTACTTACAGTACAGTAGTAAGAGTACCTTACTTGAGTAAGTATACACTGAACTTAGAGTTTTACTACTCAGTAAGAGTACTAAGAGTACTGTTACACTGTAGAGTAATTACTCAAGTAAGAGTACTGTTACACTGTAGAGTAATTACTCAAGTAAGAGTACTGTTACACTGTAGAGTAATTACTCAAGTAAGAGTACTGTTACACTGTACACCTGCAACTGCAACTTTATTTATAACACACTTTAAAAACAACACAGACTGACCAAAGTGCTACAGAACATGATTAAAAACAATAAAAACACAACATATTACTTAAGAGTACAGTTACACTGTAGAGTATATTACTCAAGTAAGAGTACTGTTACACTGTAGAGTATATTACTCAAGTAAGAGTACTATTACACTGTATAATATATTACTCAAGTAAAAGTACTGTGATTTAAGTAAGAATACTTACTTGAGTAATATACTGAACTGTAAATTACTCAAGAGTACTGTTACACTGTAGAGTATGTTACTCAAGTAAGAGTACTGTTACACTGTAGAGTATGTTACTCAAGTAAGAGTACTGTTACTCTTCACAACTGCAACTGCATCTTTATTTATAACACACTTCAAAAAACAACACACTGACCGAAGTGCTACGGAACATGATTAAAAACAATAAAAAACACAACATATTACTCAAGTAAAAGTAGTTACACTGTACAATATTACTCAAGTACTGTTACTCTTCACAATATATTACTCCAGTAACAGTACTTACTTGAGTAATATACTGAACTGTATATTACTCAAGTAAGAGTACTGTTACTCTTCACAACTGCAACAGGATTTATTTTAACACACTTTAAAAACAACACAGACAATAGAATACAACATTATACTCGAGTACTGTTACACTCTATAATTACTCAAGTAAGAGTACTGTTACTCTTCACAACTGCAACAGGATTTATTTTTAACACACTTTAAAAACAACACAGACAATAAAAATACAACATATTACTCGAGTACTGTTACACTCTATAATTACTCAAGTAAGAGTACTGTTACTCTTCACAACATATTACTCAAGTAAGAGTAGTAATACATTGTACAATGTATTACTCAAGTAAAAGTACTGTGATTTATGTAAGAGTACTTACTTGAGTAATATACTGAACTGTAAATTACTTAAGTAAGAAAACTCTTACACTGTACAATATATTACTCGAGTAAGAGTACTGTTACTCTTCACAACTGCAACTGCATTTTTATTTATAAACGCATTTTAAAAACAAAACAGACTGAACAAAGTGTTGCAGAACATGATTAAAAACAATTAAAACACAACATATTACTCAAGAGTACAGTTACACCGTACAGTTACTCAAGTAAGAGTACTGTTACCCTATGCAGCACATTGCTCAAGAAGAGTACGGTTACACTGTGCGGTATGTCAGTAAGTAGTAGTAAGAGTAAAAGTATGCGGTGTGAAAACTACTCAGTGAATGACAACTGTTTTACAAAAAGAAACTTAGTTAAATAAATATGAAACAAACAGAAGTTTCGTCCACGCGCTCTGTTCCACGCTGTCCTCTCTTGTCTCGCTGTTGCGTAATGACGTCGTCCCACTGACTGCTGACCCACTTTACGTCTGGGGGCGGGGCCTTGTGACGTCGCGAGGCGGTAGCGCTATAAAAGCTCCAGCGCTAAACTCGAGCTCAGACCACAAACAGAAAGTTACGACACAACAACAGCTTTTGTCCTCATAAAAGTGCACAAAGGGAGGCATGAACGCCATCTAACCTCACTCCGGAGACTTTTTCAGGTAAATCTGATTAATTATTTCTGTATTTGTTTCATAAAAGTGTGTTTTGAAGTTTTTTATTGTGCTAAACGTGCCTTGAGATTACAATAGCTTCACGTGTAAAAGGTTTGACAACGGAAGTAAACAAAGAATCGTGATTTCAGTTGAGTGCAAATAACACTTTTATATTAATATAGGAAATCTCAGCTATTAAAATGTGGTTAACGTGATCTGAAATTGTGT